GGTAAAAATATCATTTTGAAGAGGAAATCGGACAAGTCAGGCAAGGACTCACCAAATCCACCTAACTATTCTATTTATTTATTTAACAAATATCTAGTACCTCCTGTGTGCAAGCAGACACTGTGCTAAATGTCTTATAGATATCAATATGTAGGATCCTCCTAACAACCCTGTAGACTATCAGCAACTTATTACTTTTGCATATTATTGTTATTATCCTAATTTTTCTATTAAGGAAACCAAGGCACAGTAATCGTAGATAACCTGCTCAAGATCACCAGCTAGTAAGCAGTGGAGTTAGGATACAGGCTGGTTAGGAAGCTGGTATGGAAAGATAAGGCTATTTTAGACTTCTTTTTGCAAGCCCCCTTCATCATATCAAGCATATCAGGTGCACACATGCTTCATTAACTATAATTCACATGTGACTATATAAGAAATGAGCTAAGAGTTTAGCTGTGTTTGCCTAATTAGCATAATGCAGTTCCACAATCCTTTATCCAAAACTTTGGGGGATAGATGTATTTTGGAATGCAGAATTTTTCAGGTTTAGAAAGGTAATATAATCTAACCCAGCAATTCCACTTCTGGATATATACCCAAAGAACTGGAAGCAAGTACATGAAGAGATATTTGCACACGCATGCTAATAGGAGCATTATGAAAGGCAGAAGCAACCCAAGTGTTTGTTGACAAACAAATGGATGACAAAACAGGGTAGATATACATATATACAGTGAAATATTATTCAGTCTTAAAAAAGAAGGAAATTCTGACACAATTTCTCTGCATTTTAAAGTGGTATGCAGCCTTGATCCAATTTCTGAGACCCAGTTCAAATGCTATCCTTTCATGAATTTTTCTCATCAGCTTGATCCAAAGGGATCTCTCTCCCCTCCCTCTGAAACCTTACTGGGCAGTAAGGCTCCACAGCTCTGGATGGCAGAGACTTTTCTCAGCCCTCTCCATCTCTCTACCCCAATTAGAATAAAATCTTCTTTAATAATACTTACAGTAGACCTTCTCAACAAGTACTAGTTTAATTAGAAGCAGGAAGCTAAAATCTCCCAACAAAGAAAATCTTCGGACCAGATAGCTTCACTGATGAAATTTACTAAATGTTTAAAGAAGAATTAGCATATCAAGCTCTTCCAAAAAGTAAGAAAGGAATACCTCCTAATTCATTCTATGAAGCCAGCATTACCCTGATATATGAACATATGTTCACACAAAAACTTGTACATGAACATTCATAGCAGCCATTATTCATAATATCCACAAAGTGGAAACAACCCAAACATCATCAACTGATGAATAGGCAATCAACAGATGGTATATCCAGACCATGGAATATTATGCAGCCATAAAAAGGAATGAAGTATTGACACATGTTACAACATGGATGAACTCTGAAAACATTATGTTAAATGAAAAGATCCAAACACAAAAGACAACACATAATGTGATTCCATTTACATGAAGCACCCAGAATATGCAAATCCAGAGACAGAATATAGACTGACAGTTGCCAGGGGCTGGGGGAGAAGGGGTTATGAAAGTGTTCTGGAACAAGATAGAAGTCTTGGCTACACAAATTGTGAATGCACTAAATGCCACTAAATGGTACACTTTCAAAGATTAATGATTAATATCAGAAAGGAGACTGGCCCTAATCTAGAAGTTTCCAGGATTCCATAAAGAGGGTAGCTGAATAGAGGCTTAACTCCCTCCTAACCTGGAAGAGGAGTTCCAACAACAAAAAAGCAATAAGCCTTCTCTGGAATGAGGAACTGTTACTTTCGTTTTCAGCAAGTGTACAAAGATTAGGCAATCCTCGGGGCCCAAAGAGGAAATTATCAATTAGCTTTTGCTGTATAACAAATCTCCTTAAAATGTAGTAGATTAAAACAAGCATTAACAACAAGATACCACCACACATCTTTTAGAAGGGCCCAAATCCATAACATTGACCATACCAAATGTTCACAAGGATGTGGAGTAACAGAAACTCTTGCATGCTGCTGGTAAGAATGCAAAAGGGTACAGCTACTTTGGATGAGAGCTTAACAGTTTCTTACAAAACTAAACCATACAATCCACACATGATTCAGCAGTGGCACTCCTTGGTATTAACCCAAAGGAGTTGAAAACTTCTGTCCACACAAAAACCTGCACCCAGATGATTTTAGCAGCTTTATTTATAATTGCCAAAACTTGCAAGTGACCAGGATGTCCTTCAGTAGGTGAATGGATAAATAAACTCTGGTAAGCCCAAACAACGGAGTAGTCAGCTCTAGAAATAAATGAGCTAGCAGGCCATGAAAAAGATATGAAGGAACCTTAAATGCATATTACTAAGTGAAAGAAGCCAATCTGATGCCAACTATGTGACCCTCTGGAGAAGGCACAGCCATGGAGATGGTGAAAAGATCAGTGGTTGCCAGAGGTTGGAGGAAGTGGAGAGATGAATAGGTGGAGCACAGAGGATTTTCAGGGCAGTGAAAAATGCCAGCACTTTTCAGGTCTCTGTTCGTATCACATTTTCTATTGTACGATTTGCTAGATCAGTCACATAACCAAGACCAGAGTCAGTATGCAAAGGGCCTTTCAGAGTGCATGCATACTGAGTGGGAGGAACTACTGCAGCCATTTTTGTTAATTATCTACCAAAGGAAGGAATAAATTAAATCTTTAATTCAAGACCTAATGTCTGATAGTCATGCTAGAGTTAGGAGAAATGCACAGTGCAAAACTGAAACCTCTTTATTTGACCAATGCTTCTAGGAAATGGTCAGTTGATATCTAAGGGACCCCACCCATTTGTGACCACAGAGCAGTTTCAGTTCTGCAATATAGTACAGATTTTAGCTGTAGGATTCCTTAAGGGAATATTATTGTTTGGATTTGTTTTGTTTCTTTAGGGAGGATCTGGGCCCCATCTCATCACTACTTAAAAAGAAAGGCTGTTTGGCACATGAAAAGGTGTTCCACATTGTTAATCATCAGGAAATAAAAATTAAAACCACAACAAGATATCACCTCACACTAGTTAGGAACAACAAATGCTGGCAAGGATGCAGAGAAAGGGGAACCCTCCTACACTGCTGGTGGGAATGTAAATTGGTACAACTGCTGTGGAAAGCAGTATGGGGATTCCTCAAAAAATTAAAATTAGAAATACCATTTGACCCAGGAATTCCACTCCTAGGAATTTACCCAAAGAAAACAAGATCCATGATTCAAAAAGACATATGCACCCCTATGTTTATCACTGCACTATTTATAATAGCCAGAATATAGAAGCAACCTAAGTGTCCAGCAGTAGATGAATGGATAAAGAAGATGTGGCATACATACACGCAATGGAATATTATTCAGCCATAAAAAGAAAAGAAAAATCCTCCCATTTGCAACAATATGAATGGAGCTAGAGAGTATTATGCTCAGCGAAATGAGCGATGCAGAGAAAGACAAGTACCAAATGATTTCACTCATTTGTGGAATATAAAAACAAAAGCAAAACTGAAGGAACAAAATAGTAGTGGACTCCCAGACTCCCAAAAGGGACTACTGGTTACCAAAGGGGGAGGGGTGGAGGCTGAGAGAGGGAAGGATGGAGAAGAGGATTAAGGGGCACTATAATTTGCAATCACAGTATAGGTAGATTATGGGGTAGGGTAGGTTGTACAGCAAGAAAACAAGCAATGACTCTTTAACATCTTATTATGCTGATAGACAGTGACTGCAATAGAGGGGGTGAGGACTTGATAATATGGGTGAATGTTGAAACCACTGTGTTGTTTATATGAAATCATTATAAGATTGTATATCAATGATACTTAATCAATGAATAAAAAAGAAAGGCTGTTCATGATCATGCTCAGGGAAAGGAGAGGCTTACATAGATTATTTCCAATCACAGATATTCACAGTCAGGACATGTTCCAGGTGGCATAGCCCAGGGAGTCCCTCACTAGCCATCCTGTGTCTGTGGGTCCTGGTCAGTCCTGTCCCTGACATTTACAGGGCCCAGGGCAGTAATCCATTGGGAGACCCCATGTCAGAAGAAATTTGGGCAGGGGGAGGTTATAATTTTAGAGAGAGTGTCCCAGAAAGGCTTACTAAAAAGATAACATTTGAGTAAAAGATCTGAAAGTTAGGGAGAAAGTAATATAGATGTTTGATGGAAGAGTGATGCAGGCAGGGGAAACAGAGGTCTCTGAGCCAGCCTCTGTGACCAAAGCAAAATGAGTAAGGGGAAGAGTGCAGAGACAGGGGCACAAAGAGCTTTCAGGGACCAGATCACACCAGGGTTTATATGTTATTATAAGGATTGGGCTTTTCATTGAGTGGGATTGAAAAACTGTGGGAGGACTGTGAACAGGACTGACCTGACATGTTTTGTATTTTCACAGGATCACCATGGCTGCAGTGTTGCGAATGAACTGAAGAGGGGCTAGGCTAAATAAGCAGACCAGGTAGGGGCTTTTGCAAGAATCCCAGCGAGAAACAAGGGTGGCTCAGACCAGGTAGAAAGAGTGGTGGAAGCGGTCAGGAATAATAAGATTCTGGACATATTTTTGGAAGTAGAGCCAACAGTATTTAGCAATGGGTTGGATATGGGGTATGAAATGAGAGAGGAGTCAAGGATAAGGATCAAGGTGCCACAGGAGGACTGCCACGGCCTGGCTGACACGCTATTGCATTCCCTCTGGTGGTCACCCCTGAGAGTAGGCTGTGTGTGCACTTCAAGGAGGCTACCTCCTGAGGAAAAACCTCAGATTCAGAGGATCCAATGATACTAGAGACAAGTCACCCTCTGTGTCACCCTCTGGTATCCACAGGGCAATTGGGAAAGCCCCAAGCCATCTCGGCCCTCTGCTTCCTCTTGCATTCCCAAGCCTTGTTCCCTTTACTTAGAAATAGCATGTTGCCTATTGTAGAGACAAAGAACAGCGTTCTGAACCTCTGCCCTGTAACTTCCTGATCCTCCTCCTCTTATAAATACAAGGGCAAAGCCGGGATCCCAGTGAGTGAGGGAGTAGCGAGCTCAGGAGTCCTCAGGCCAGCTCCACCCACACCCTGGGAAAATGAAGATCTCCACAGCTGCCTTCTTCCTCGTTTTCGCTGCTGCGCTTGGATCCCAGGCCCAGATCATTCGTGGTGAGTTCAGTGAGCCATTTCACTGGTGACAAGGTCTGTAGTAATCCATGGTCCAGGGAGGAGACACAGAGGGACACCTCTGCCCTCTGTGACTGCGCCCCCTCCCAGACATGGATGCTAACTTGGTACTTGTTTAAAAGCAGTAGTGGTAGGGTAGAGACCTCTCCCTGAAGCCTTTGGTCCTGGGGGGAAACTGTATACAGATGACTTGGGGAAACAATTCTCTCCCTTTTAATGGCCAGAATTATTTGATACCTTCTCATAATGGGCATAGGACTGTTAAATGCTAGATCAAAAGAATTATACATTTGTAGAAAGTATAGAATTCTATAATGTTAGAGCTCTTACATACCACCTAAGGTAAAAATATCATTTTGAAGAGGAAATCGGACAAGTCAGGCAAGGACTCACCAAATCCACCTAACTATTCTATTTATTTATTTAACAAATATCTAGTACCTCCTGTGTGCAAGCAGACACTGTGCTAAATGTCTTATAGATATCAATATGTAGGATCCTCCTAACAACCCTGTAGACTATCAGCAACTTATTACTTTTGCATATTATTGTTATTATCCTAATTTTTCTATTAAGGAAACCAAGGCACAGTAATCGTAGATAACCTGCTCAAGATCACCAGCTAGTAAGCAGTGGAGTTAGGATACAGGCTGGTTAGGAAGCTGGTATGGAAAGATAAGGCTATTTTAGACTTCTTTTTGCAAGCCCCCTTCATCATATCAAGCATATCAGGTGCACACATGCTTCATTAACTATAATTCACATGTGACTATATAAGAAATGAGCTAAGAGTTTAGCTGTGTTTGCCTAATTAGCATAATGCAGTTCCACAATCCTTTATCCAAAACTTTGGGGGATAGATGTATTTTGGAATGCAGAATTTTTCAGGTTTAGAAAGGTAATATAATCTAACCCAGCAATTCCACTTCTGGATATATACCCAAAGAACTGGAAGCAAGTACATGAAGAGATATTTGCACACGCATGCTAATAGGAGCATTATGAAAGGCAGAAGCAACCCAAGTGTTTGTTGACAAACAAATGGATGACAAAACAGGGTAGATATACATATATACAGTGAAATATTATTCAGTCTTAAAAAAGAAGGAAATTCTGACACATGCTACAAAAATGAACATTGAAAACATTACAATCAAATGATACAAGCCAGGAACAAAGGGCAAATACTGTATGATTCCACTCCTAGGAGGTACTTAGAGTAGTCAAATTCAGAGACAGAAAGTAGAATGGTGGTAGCCTGGGGGTTGGGGAGTTACGCTTAATGCAGCATTTTGGTTTTGCAACATACAAAATTTTTGAAAAAATTTCAGTGGATGGATTGTGTTATGGTTGTGCAATATGTAAACATAGTTAATGCTACTGAACTGTAAACTTCAAAATGGTTAAAATTGTGAATTTTTTATTTATATATTACCACATTTTCAAAAAAATTACATCTTTTAAAAGGTGACACATACATGGATGTTGCTTAACATCCCTGTCAAAGTCTGAGGGGCATACTTTAATCAAACACAGTAATATTTCTGCAGCAAACACATACAAATATTCACACTAATGAAATAAATAAAGACTATAAGTAGCCGCACTTTGCTTTGGGTGACATTGTGCCTTCAAGTCAGTTAACGTAAAATTTTTCTGTTTCCTGAGCCTTGTGGATTCCAGAAATGTATAGAAAGCACTGTGGACTGTATCACATTATGTAGCTATTCAATTGATTTATTCATGTTGGATTTATAGTGTGCTTTTTGTGTTTCAAAGTCAGTAGAAGGCTTTCATGTCTCAAATATTTTTTTAAATTCCCTGAAAAATCTCAAGGTCTTAACAGAAAAAACTGGCCTGGAGGCAGGCCTAGAACCCAGAGGGTGTCCAGTAGTACCTCCCTGGCAGAGGATGGAGGGAAGAAATGAGGCAGGTGTACAAGCTGAGACCATGCTTCCTTCAGGTGATTTCTCTCCTTCTTTGTCTGTTTCTCCCCAATAGAATCCCTGGTAGACATGCATCCATTTGAACCATCAATGCATACGGAAAGTAAGTACGTCATTACAGCATATATTTACAAGCAGCCAGGGGAAACAGATCTGCTCCATGGCTTCAATCCACCTTATTTACAGGGTGGGCAGGAGGACAGGGGGAGGGTCCCAAGCATGGTGAACATCTCCAAGAAAGAGCACCCTGGGTCGTGGGTCCCTCCCCTATAAATGACCTCTGTTCCACCTGGCTGTCCAGTCGGCTCACTCGGGGCAGTGGGTGCTCTCTGATGCCCCCTGCGGGCATCTGATCCTTCCTCATCTGTGAGAAATGGTCTGTGCTGTGGCCCTGCCTGGGTGCCCTCAGACATGCATCTCAACCCTGGGGAGAGAGAAGCAAGGAGATGCCAGCAAGTGCTGGCAGAGAAGCAAAGCACCGCTCTTGAGTCATTGCCTCTTCACCCTCCCCAGTACTTTGAAGGAAAGGGGGAAAGGATCTAGCTTTCCTCAAAAAAAGACTCAGTCCTTAAATGGCCCTTCCTCTTGCTGCAGGCTTTCACCGTCCCACTGACTGCTGCGTCTCCTACACCACACGAAATATCCGATGTGTATTCATGCAAGATTATTATGTAACAAGCAGTGAGTGCTCCATGCCTGCTGTCATGTAAGTGCCCAGCTCACTGGCCACATCTTGGGACAGGAGGACCTGAGGGATAGGAATCTGGAAAAGTCCCACCTTCTGGATCCTGCCAGGTCAGAGGAGGCTTGTGTCCTCATTAGGATCCTGCAGGGCACCAGGAATGAGATTCTCCAGTGAAGAGGGAAGGAAAGGCCCAGGAGTCACTAAGGGAGTCCCAGAGGCTGAGGGAGGGTCTTGGAGAGGAGACGCCCAAGCTCCTACAGCAGAGAAAGGAATGAGCAGGCTGGCCTGAGCCGGGAATCCGAGGGGCGGGGAGGATGAGGCCCCTATCCCCATTTGCAGCCCTCCCCGGTTTGTAATCTTTCTCTGCCTTGCCCCCAGCTTCTTCACCAAGAGGAGGCAGAAAGTCTGTGCCAACCCCAGAGATGAGCGAGTTCAGTCCTGCATAAGGTACCTGCAGCCGACCCAAGGGACCAAGGGGCTGAGAAAAATGAACCTTGCTTGAGAAGAGATGTAGGTGCCAGCCACCCCACCTCCACCTTCCTTGCCCCAACTACCTCCTGGGAGTTTCTTAACCTGGATTACTTTTTAAAAAGCAGCAATTACTGTTCTGTTTGGTTATAATAGCAATGCATTAATAAAGAGTATCCACTCTAACTTCACTTGAATTTTAAGAGAAAAAAGAAACTGTAGGAATTGTTGGACCTTGGATTTGTGGGGTTTCTTTTTTTCAAGATGGAACATCATAGCATAACTTTTTAAAAGACTGAGTATGTGTCAAAAATCGACTTAACCCTGGGAATGAGGGAACCATAAAACCGATCCAAAGATCATCTGAGGACAGAGATCATTTGAGGAACATTCATTGTGGATGGCATTCTGAAATTTTGCTAAGTTACAGAAAAACAGATTAATATCCTGTAAAACAATAAAACTGTAACTTGGGGGATTATGGTTTCTCCTAGACAAAAATCATTTGTATCTGTACTATATAAAAAAACTACAAGCAAACATGTAATTTCACAAAGTCTGGGGCCTGATCAATAGTAAATAAAACAGCAATCAAAAGTACATTCTCTCTACATATTTAAAAAATCCTAGGGTGGACCTTTTAGACAACGTTCCAATATGATGAAAATACAGTCATCCTTCTGCCTTATTTCTATGTTTTGGATGTTTTTCCTTAACATATATAACTTCCTAAAAGGTGTCTTCTTTAAAGTTAAAGGACATTAAGAAAAACCTCTAAAGCTGGTGTTAATATCAATTTTGCATTCATACCTATTAAAGCATATACACTTATAATTAGTAAACTTTGGTCAACTGTCTCAAAATTCAGAAGAAATCACTGAATTCTAAATGACAAGAAAACACTTTTTAATTCAGAAAAAAAACTGTTCAAAACCTATGTTTACTTTTTGGGTGATTTACCATAAAAATCAATGGGAAAAAACTGATAAGTATACATATCCTTTATAATAATAAATCACTATTAGAAAAAAATCCTAAAACAGTGATTAAAGCTGGGAATTAAAACTCCAAAGAGATTAAACACAAATTCACAGAATGTGTTATCTTATCCTCCCTACTAAAATAGCTGATCTTTAAATGTTTGACTACAGGTTAGAAATTTTTCTTTTACTCCATCATGTGGGAGTGGAGGGATGGGCAGGAAATTATTGGGGAAAAGAGGAAAAATAAGCATTCCAGGTGATTCTAAGGCAGGTGGTCCTAGGACCTCAGTGGGAGATACCCCTTTAGGAGGTGGGGGTAACCAGTGGGCAGCCAGCTGGTGGACTGGGGGAAGGAAAAGTGCCCTAGGATATTTCATCTCTTCAAGGATGCCTTTCTTTTTTCTCAGCACAAGCAGAAATACCTAGTTCCCTGACTTCGAGTGCAAATTTTGATTATAGGGGCCCTAGCTCTGGTGGGTGAGGAGGAAAGAGGAGTGGGGCTGCTCAGGCTTTCACTGGGTGCCCCAAGAGCTTCGTCCTCGGGGTGGGGCAAGGAAGGCCTTCTTGCCTTTGACCAGATGTCATCCAGGGCCCAGTTCTCTCTCTGGCCTGTTGTCCCCGCTGGAAGACTCTCACAACAGACAACCTTCTTTATTTGGAGAGCTGTTCTTGTAGCCTTATCCTGGGGCAAACCCTGCCCCTGGCTGTGCTGAAATGAGGACTAACAAGGTGAAAGCTTGTTCCCTCAACCCACTTCTTCTCCCAATGTCCACGGACTCTGAGCTTTGTGTTTCCCAGAGTCCTGCTGAGGAAACATATTTCCAATGATCTTCTCCCTCACCTGTATGAAGCTATAGATTTTTCAGCCTTCTTGTTTTGCCATCAAACTGATACATGAACAGTTTCCTTTCTACAGAACAGAAGTTGTTCATTTCATGGTCAGCTAATGTTATCTTTTCTGATTCCCTATGCTACTATGAAATTTTTATTTTATTTTATTATATATACACATCACTGTGGCTCAACAGTCCCCCTCATTCCCCCTACCCCCGACTATTACCCTCCCCCTTGGTAACCACTAGTCACTTTTCAGTGTCTATGAGTCTAATTCTGTTTTGCTTTATTTTTATATTTCATAAGTAAGTGAAATCATATGGTATTTGTCTTTCTCCGCCTGGCTTATTTCACTGGGCATAGTACCCTCTAGATCCACCCATATTGCAAATAACAGGATTTCCTTTCTTTTCTTCTTATGGTTGAAAATTTATTTTTATTTTCATATTTCTCCTGTCACTTTAATGCAGTTTGGGAGGTGAAAGAGGCACGCATAGAGGTTCACGGCTCTGGCCTATATTTGGACCCATTTCTAATCTTTCCCCTTGCTCTCATTACTGCACTGTGTTCTATTGAATTCAGAAACTTGGCATTAACACCAGCCCACTGAGCCCTGGAATATATGACTAAGTGATGACAAACAGTGACTTTCAGCTCTTTTGTAGAGATTTTGTTTCAGAGACTTGGTGAAAATCTCAAAGAGTTCTGGGTTAAAACTGCGCTAGGACTAAGGGGAATGTGTGTGATTTCACCAGGTCCTCTGGCTGGCCAAGTTGTTAGCTCAGTAGAATGACACGGAGAACACAGCCCACCTGAACAGTGTGGGTGGCAGGGATCTCCTAAGTGAGGCTTTGGGTCATGACAATGGCAGCTGAACCAAAATAAGGGATGGCAAGTGAGAAAGAATGACTTTCCTTCCCGCCCAAGCACCGGGTCACTCACAGGCCTTGCAGTCTTGGCAGGGGCGATGGCGTGTTATATCTAGTTTGATTGCATCATGTGTGCTCTATTTTTGCAGTTCCTCAAAAACAGCATGTTCCTTTTTGTTTCCTGCCTTTCTGTGGCACTTCTGCCATCAGTGCCCCTCCTCTCAACTCTTTCCTGCAAAATTCAACCCATCCAGCAAGGTTCAGTTTAGGGGTCATCACAAAACCTTCCCTCACTATCCCAGCCAGAGCACCCACATCCCTTTCTCTGCAATCCTGAAAGAGGTATTTATTGTCAATCAAACAGATAGTTATTGAGTGATGACTTTATGATATACACTGTGGTAGTTATTAGGAAAACCATGAGAACAAAACAAACTAGATTCCTGCCCTTCAAAAATACTTCAGTGTAGAGAGGAGACTGAAAATAAGAATAAGATATATCTGTGTGCAGGAATCATATCTAATTCATCACTAAATCTCTAAACTAGTATGCAACACTGGATTAAAATGATAAGGTTGTTTGTATTAGGGTAACCGGCCTGGGGCTTAGGCCTCCCCAAGCCCCAGTCAGGCTACCCGAGGGCTAAAGAGACCAGTATATTAAAGCACACCAATTAAGAAGCTGCACTATAGATCAGGATTCTGAAACTTTAACATTGCATAAGAATCACCTAGAGGGCTTATTAAAACAGATTGCTGGATCCCACTCCCCAAAATTCTGATTCAGTAGGATTGAGAGGGACCAAAGAATAAACATTACTAACACGTTCCCAGGTTGCAGGGTGGAGTGGAAATTTGAGGAGAAACTCTCATTCTTGACTTTGTAACTTCAGCATCATTTGCAACTTTTATAAGAAGCACATAGTTAATAACCAAAAAACAATTTCAAAGAGCTGAAAAGATGTATTGTCCTTTCAAGGACAAACAACAAAATGGACCAGTTATTGACTTGTGTTGATATTTGATTTTTTTATGATGACGTTTATCAAAGTTGCTTAATTATACAAGAAACATAGAACTGCGGAAGCTTAAACATAGCAGTCTGACAACCAATTTTGAATTTCTACAAGTGAGAATCTTGGAAAGTACCTACAAAAAAAAGTATTTAAAAGTTGTAAAAACAACAAACCTGGCTAGAGCTGCATAGAAATCATCAAGGCATAAAATAGCAAATGGAAATATCCATATTTTTACTATTTCACAAGATTTTAAAAGTTATATAGCTCATTCTCTTTTCTCTTGGGTGGGCCAAGGGGCTTAACTGAGGTTTGTCAGCCAGGGCTGGGCAGAAGAACTCACATGGTTGAAGCCACTGGGGGTGGGGCCGAGAACACAACCTGTGTAGCCAGAGGGTCGCAGAGCAAAGAAGAAAACACATTGAGGTTAATGGAGTCAGGTTTCTCTCTGCTAGAGTAGGAAGGCAAACATAGAAAGGGAAGATTAAAATGAACTCTATGGGGTTGACTTGGAATTGAATGTATTGGATAAACTTATGGTTTTTCATATAGCTAAACAGATGATACAGAAATTGCTATAATTATGTGAAAACAATATAATAGAAATAGATATAAACTTACACATACCCTTATGCATATATGTTAATATATTTCCTTGTTTTGTCCACTTACAGCTCAGACCTAAAAGTAGTACCATTCCCTCAACAATGGGTACCCATTTCTTGGCTTCTCAAAATCATTCTCCACTAATGGGAACCAGGACTCACTGGAGAAATGGCTGATTCCAGAGCTGGGGCAAAGTATAAGATGACACTGGATCATCTTTTTGTGCCAAAAAGTAAGGAAACAAGGATACATAATAGATACCAAAATCTTCTAGACAGAAGAAAAACCAGATCACCACAAATGAAAGTTCAAAAAAGTTTTTCATATTCACAATGTAGAATTCTATACCCAGCAAAAAATACCGATCAAGTATGAGGGATGAATAATAACTTCTTCAAAAAAAAAAAAAAAAAGACTCGGAAAGTTTATGTCCCACACATCCATTCTGTATTATTTGATTTTTTTAAATTAATGTATATATATTGCTTTGAAAAACATTTTTAACATTTGTTTCAATAGATGCTGCATACTCAGTAGTTGGCAACAGAATATTTAAGGTCTCTAATTATGTGGCTACCAAATTCCATTCATCTCACTGTACTGCAATTTTCATTACTTTTTTGAGTCTATCTTTAAGCTAAGAGTCCTCTGAGGTCAAGATCATCTTCATTCCCATGCTCCAAGAGCAGTCCAGCATCTGGCATTGGATGCTATGGCAAAAATATTCATTCCCTTTTCCTCCTGGGCACACAGATGAGCTATATTTCTTATGCTTTTGTCATTAAGTTGTAGCCAACTGTCTTCAGTTTGGCCCTGGAGTGTAAGTGAATGTAATTTATACCATTTCCACAACTAGTCCATAAAAATCTCCCAATCCCCCTCTACCTCTCCCCTTGGTAGCAAACTTGGAGGCCTTGTACTGAAAATGGTGGCATCACAGATAGAAGAAGCCTTAGTTCCTGAATAGGCTCATGAAACAGCCCTCCATGATACACACACCCTCATCCACTGCTCACCCACACTGAACTGTAACTTGAGCAAGAAATAAACTTTCATTTAATTAACCCCCTGAGATTTAGAGGCTGTTTATTATAGCAGTTAGCATATATAGCCTAATGTAGATAGGAACTCAGTAATTGCTTGAAAAACAAAGTAATTTCCTGTAAGGCTCCTAGCAACAACTTGGCAGGTAAGCTAAGCCTCTGTGAAAACAAAGTAAACACTGTTTCCTTCCATATGATATTTTCACCAGAAACAACTTATTTCCTTAGATTGTTCCTAATGGCAACTGT